CCGGGGGTCCCGCAGCCGCGCCGGGCCTCGGTGGGCGGGCGGGTCGCCGCGGCCCCAGGGTCGCCCGCCCCCAACCGGCGCGCCCCTGCATCCGAGCCTGCATCCCGGCGAGTCTGCCCCGCCGCGGCTGCTTCCCACTTCCTGTTTTCCTCCCGGCCCTGGCGCCATCGAGGTCCGCCTGGAGTGGGGGAGGTGTGGAGGCCCCCCGGGAGGCAGGCGTAGCCGTTCCTCCGCCGCCGCCCCTCCGTTCGAGCCCTTGTGCCCCCCGCAAAAAAAGTTGAGGCGGTCACGCCAAGTTGGGGTTGTTTGCCAGAACTTGCGCCCCCACCCAGGCTCGCGCGGTCTGGGATACCCAGGTGTGCCTTTGGGGACGCGGCCTTCACGGCCCTTGCTGTCTGCAGCGGCCTCTGCACCCTTCTGCTCCTGCAGCCCTTCCCCCGGGGCGGCCGCGAGGTTGCAGCCTCGCCGGACCCCGTGCTGCAGAGGGCCCGCACCCTCGAGCTCCCAGGCTGCAGAGCTGCTGTTTCCGTGATTTAAGCACGTGGACCCGTACCCAACACACGCATGGTTTCCTTGCCCGTGCCTGGCTCCCGGCTCCGAGGCCTGGGGAACAGAGCCCCATTGAGACACCCTGACGTCACCCCCACTCCGTCCCCTCCCCAAAGCTGGGAACAGGCCCTCGTGTATGCTGTGTCCGATGAGGAAAGCCGGTACTAGGGTGGCGCTGGGGTGGGCCCGGCCATGAGGGGTCTCTGCCAGACGTGGCAGCCAGGGTCCAGGCCCGCGGGGGAGGGGGGCGTTTCTCAGGGAAGGAGGTTAACAAGGGGGCCTGGGACAGCTCCCAGAATGCAGGCTTGAGGCCCTCCCAGAGCCCCCACCGCCTTTCCGAGCTCCCTTTGTGTCGCGTGTAGTCTCTCTCTCCCTCTCTTCTGCAAAGTTTATTTTTAGCCTCCTGCTCCCCCGCGCCCAGGACTGTCGCTGCACTCGTTGCCTGGTTACCGGGACACGGAGGCTGGGGCTGGTGGGCTGGGAAGGGTGGCTTTAATTTGGGGGGGAGGGTGGAAGTCAGACCCCTCCACCTCCAGACGGACGTCTCCGGGGCTTCGGCCCCCCTCTCGGGACTGGGAGCCAGATTGGAGCTGGGATGGCTGTGGCACGGAGCTTAGTGGCCTGAGGGAGCCAGGAGTGCTTTAGAGGTGGCCCCAGAGTGCACGGTGGGGTGACTTGATTAATTGGGGCTCCAAAGACCTCTGGACTGCCCGGAGACCCTGGGACCTTGGTCCTCTGAGGCAGGACAAGGGCAGTGGGGCGACCACCTGGGTCCTCAGAAGGATGAGGCTGTGGCCGCAGGGGTTTGGAAGGTGTAGCCCTCCAGGGGCCGCCCCCGCTGGGCTGCGGGTGCAGGACCCCGGGGCTGGCATCCTGAAGAGTTGGAAATCTGTTCCCGGAACCCGGCAGTGGCCGGCTGGTCCGAGGTGGGGATCTCTGAATGGGGCGTGCGGACTGTCTGTGAGGGAGAGCTGAGGTGGCCACTCTTTTAAGGAGGCCCAGGGCGGGTGTCTGCAGGGAAGCAGTCAGCGAGCGTTCGGGAAAGGTCCCGGAAGGAATGGAACTTCTGACCCCGGCCTCCCAAGGGGGAAGGAGCCTCTTTTGGATTTCATACTAGGGCTGGGGGGGCAGGGAGGCCCAGTCTTGCACAGTCTAGGTTGGTTTCTGCTTGAACTGGGCCCAAAGTTGGGGTGACTGACACCAGTTTGCCCAGTACCTGGAACCCCACCCGACTTCAGCCCTAGACCTTAGACTCCCTTCTGTGGTGGCACCAGGGCCCCTGATCTGCCTCCCCCCACCCCCCTCCTTGCCTTCCTCCCCTTTCCCTCCTCCCACCCCTCCATTACCGGCTGCCTAGTGCTGAATAATTGATGGTCCCTGATTACCCGGGGGTTTGGGAAATGACAAGAACCGCAGCCCCCCCACCCAGGCTGCCCACCCCCTCCAGGGACCAGAGCAGCCCGCCACCAACCTCCACCCAAGGTTAATGCTGGGGCGGGCCGGCAGGTGGGCTGGGAGTAAGCTGAGGATGAGAAGGCAGAAGCTGGCGGTGCTGGGCCTGCTTGGGCTCTGAGCCGTGCCCTCTCAATCAGGGTCCTAAGGGTGGGCCTGGGAGGGCAGGATGGCTATAGGGTCCAGTGGGGGGGGGGGCAGGGGGCTCTCTCAGACAGTCTGGCTTCACCCTCGAGGGAAGACAGAAGCCTCTGTGTGTGCAGGCGCTGACCTCATCGGCACAAGCCACCCCACCCGGTCTGGTCCTTTTAAGAAAAAAAAAAAAAAATCCTCTCAGTCCTGGGTGGGAGTAGGAAGGAGCTCTTACAACCTGAGGAACGACCGGGTAAATCTAAAATGCACCTTTCGGAGGAGAGGGCCACCACAGCTGGGGCTTCTGTTGGCGCTGAATGGAAGTGGGGGTCCATGCAGGGGCTGTGCCCCCATCCCGCTGGCCACGTGTACCCTTTCCTGCCCCTCCCCCTCCCTGGCAGCCCTGCCCGCCGTCCTGGCTCGGTGCCTGGCCCCCTGGCACTGGCCCCGGGACCCGCCGCCGTTGGTTTCCTGTTTCTCCCGGTGTCGCTGGGGCAGGCTCCAGCTTCCCCCCCTCCCAGCTCCTGTCTGGCCCCCCTCACACAGATGCGCCGTACTGTCACCCTCTGAGCTGGGTCTTCCTTGGCTGAGAGAAGGGGCCTTTCCCGGGGATGGGAGGCTGAGGGGTGGGGCAGGAGCTGTGTGTGACTGGGGGCCCCCAAGCGGGCATCCTGACCCAGGCCACCCTGTGTCCCGTCCTAGGGTTTGCCTTCCCAGATTGGGCCTACAAGCCGGAGTCGTCCCCTGGCTCGAGGCAGATCCAGCTATGGCACTTCATCCTGGAGCTGCTGCGGAAGGAGGAGTACCAGGGCGTCATCGCCTGGCAGGGGGACTACGGGGAATTCGTCATCAAGGACCCTGATGAGGTGGCCCGTCTCTGGGGGGTCCGCAAGTGCAAGCCGCAGATGAACTACGACAAGCTGAGCCGGGCCCTGCGGTGAGGAGGGCCGTGGGCCCTGGGGGGCGTGCGTCGTGGCGGGTCCCCGTGGTTGGAAATGGCTGGGATGTGAGGACAGGTTTGGGCTCGGTTAGATCCTGGCCTTTCCCGTGAACTCACGGGGACTAGGAGGACCCAGTCTTCGTTGGAGCCGTTAGCGTGGGCCTCGCTCTGCTCTGCTTACTCGGTTTCTCGTCTGCGGCCTTGGGCCGTTGGGCACCCTCCGTGGGTGACAACCGGCCGCGTGACATGGCGCCTGGGCCCCGCGGGGCGCGGCTTGATGGCCCCCATGGCTTTTCTGTGCCCGCAGCTACTACTACAACAAGCGCATTCTGCACAAGACCAAGGGGAAGAGGTTCACCTACAAGTTCAACTTCAACAAGCTGGTGCTGGTTAACTACCCTTTCATCGACGTGGGGCTGGCTGGTGAGTGTGGGGTGCCGGGCCGGAGGAGGGGCAGGCGGGGGTCTCCGTGAGGTCGGCTGGGCCGGTGCCAACTCCCGCTCCTCCCGTCAGGGGGCGCGGTGCCCCAGAGCGCCCCGCCGGTGCCGTCGGGTGGCAGCCACTTCCGGTTCCCGCCCTCCACGCCGTCCGAGGTGCTGTCGCCCACCGAGGACCCCCGCTCCCCGCCGGCCTGCTCCTCCTCATCCTCTTCTCTGTTCTCGGCCGTGGTGGCCCGCCGCCTGGGCCGGGGCTCGGTCAGCGACTGCAGCGACGGCACGTCGGAGCTGGAGGAGCCCCTGGGCGACGACCCGCGCGCGCGGCCGCCCGGGCCCCCGGAGCTGGGCGCCTTCCGCGGGCCGCCCCTGGCGCGCCTCCCGCACGACCCCGGCGTGTTCCGCGTGTACCCGCGGCCCCGGGGCGGCCCCGAGCCCCTGAGCCCGTTCCCCGTGTCGCCGCTGGCCGGGCCGGGCTCGCTGCTGCCGCCGCAGCTGTCCCCCGCCCTGCCCGTGACGCCCACGCACCTGGCCTACACGCCGTCGCCCACCCTGAGCCCCATGTTCCCCGGCGGCGGCGGCGGGCCCGCGGCGGGCGGCTCCCACTTCTCCTTCAGCCCCGAGGACATGAAGCGCTACCTGCAGGCCCACACCCAGAGCGTGTACAACTACCACCTCAGCCCGCGCGCCTTCCTGCACTACCCGGGGCTGGTGGTGCCGCAGCCCCAGCGCCCCGACAAGTGCCCGCTGCCGCCCCCGGCGCCCGAGACGCCGCCCGTCCCCTCCTCGGCCTCGTCCTCCTCCTCCTCCTCTTCGTCCCCGTTCAAGTTTAAGCTGCAGCCGCCCCCGCTGGGCCGGCGGCAGCGCGCGGCCGAGAAGGCCCCGGGGGGCGCCGACAAGAGCCCGGGCGCGCTGGAGGGGGCGGGCGCGCTGGCCCCGCCGCCGCCGCCCCAGATCAAGGTGGAGCCCATCTCGGAGGGCGAGTCGGAGGAGGTGGAGGTGACTGACATCAGCGACGAGGACGAGGAGGACGGGGAGGTGTTCAAGGCCCCCCGCGCCCCGCCCGCGCCCCCCAAGCCCGAGCCCGGAGAGGCGGCCGGGCCTGCGCAGTGCATGCCCCTCAAGCTGCGCTTCAAGCGGCGCTGGAGCGAGGACTGCCGCCTGGAGGGGGGCGGGGGCCTCCCCGGCGCGCCCGAGGAGGAGGGCGAGGACAAGAAGGTGCGTGGCGACGCGGGCCCCGGGGAGGCCGCGGGCCCCCTCACCCCGCGCCGGGTGAGCTCCGACCTCCAGCACGCCACGGCCCAGCTCTCCCTGGAGCACCGCGATTCCTGAGAGCCGTGGGCGAGGGCTCGCGTGCCCCCAACCCCTGAGCTTTCGCTGCCTTAACCCCCTCCCCCCAAAGCCCTGGAGGTGAGGGCAGCTGTGTCTCCTCCTTTCTCCTCCCACATTTTGTATAAAACTTTTAATTTTTCTTTTTTTCTTTTTTTTTTTTTTTTTAATGGTAGCGTGGGTGGGTGCCCAGCGCTGGGGGCTAATCCCCTCATCCCTGGGTTTCTAAGTTCCGGGCAAAGTGGGGGTGGGGGGCGGGAGGAGGGGGTCGAGGGGGGGCACCTCCATTCTGGGGATTTCTATTTGAACAGAGGCTTTGGCCTTAAAAACCCAGGAACTTTTTTATTACAATCGTAGGAAGCAAAGCCTTGTCTCCCTCCCTCTTCTCTGCCTCTTCCTCCCCGTCCCGGCCCCCGCTCCCACCCCAGGCCCTAACCCTGCCTTCCTTGCCCCTGAGGGGCTGCGAGTGCCTGGGTTTCTTAGACCCCACGAGGTTGCAGCAGGGGCAGGAGGGACATTTTATAAACCAAAAATTCAGCGGGGGTGGTGGAGGGAGGCAGGGGAAGGTGAGGGGTGCCGTCTGTGGGCCATAAATCTCTACAAGTGCCTGTTCCCCGCCCCGCCCCAGTACTGGTCCAGGCCCTTCCCGCCCTCCCCCGGCTGCCCCAGGTCTGGCCCGTGGGCAGGTGGGTCGGGTCGGGAAAGGGGTCCCTTGAAACCAAACTGGAAGCCCCTCCCTGCCCCCCAGCTGAGCCCCAGGGTGGGCCGGAGGGCCGAGGTCAAGCCTTACTCTGTATGGGGAATGGAGGGTGGGTGGGACGCGAAGGGGCTTCTGGAGAATGTATTCAAAACAATAAAACTTTGGACCTTTGCACGTGGTAATCTGTGGAGGGCGCTGGGCGTGGCCTCGGACCCGGCCTAGGTCTGGACAGGCCCAGACACACCTGCTCGCATCTGTGGCCGGAAGGCCCGAGTCCACCTGCAGGTCAGATAGGCCGCTCTCAGGTGCCACGGGCCTCGGCTCTGATGGCTGCGGTTTCTGGCTCTCTCTTGTCTTGTGTTTCCCGGACTGGTTCCCTATCAGCCAATCTGCCTCTGGGACCCTTACCACCACCCTGTGGAGCCTGGTTCTGCGTTGCTGTTCCCGCCAGCTCTGCTGAGCCACACCCGCCAGGTCCCCAGAGCAGGAAGGGCGAGTGTTTTGAACTGCCTCTGGGCCGCCGCTCTGCACTGGGGGAGGCTGTAGACGCTGTGCTTGTCCGCCCAGCCTGGTGAGGAGGCGGGGTGTGTGGGGCCGGGCCACAGGCGAGGGTTCGCGCTCTGCTTGGGCAGGGGGCCGCAGCCCTGAGGTGACGCTCGGCGGGGAGCTGCGCCTGCGGAGAGCCCCATCCTCGGCACACGTGCGGGGTGGACGGGACAGCCGGGAGCTCCCGCCCTGGGTTGTCTTCGGCCCCGCACGGGGCCGGCACTCGTCCGCTCAGATACACACGTTAATAAAAGCCTTTTAAGAAATCTGTGTCTGTGTGTGAGAGTGGTCTGTGTGCGTGGCTGTGCGCCGCGCCTCGGAGGCCGGAAAAGGGCGGCGGGCGCCACGCAAGGAGAGGAGGCTGGGGACCGGCCGCGCGTCCTCTGCGAATTAGCCACCAAGCCATCCTTCCAGCCCCAGTGAAACTAAAGACGTGACCGCCCAGCTCCGTCCGTCCCTCGGTGCAGGGGTTTTGAGAGGGGCCTGTTCCACTAGGAGGTAGTTGATCTTGGCCGACCTACTGTGTGCCAGGAATTTAAGCATTTTAGTCCCACCTCAAGGCAGGGTGTCTCTGTGTAGCCCTGGCGGGCCCGGAACTCGGAGATCCACCTGCCTCTGCCTCCTGGGTCAGCGTTCAACAGCCAAGGGCGCCATGAGACTCGCCCAGAGCCCTAGAGTTGGGCCGTTAGTAAGGTTATCTGTGAGTCCGGGGAAACGACGGCGTTTTCCGTTGGAAGGGCCGAGGTAGCTGGACTGAAATCAGGGTGTCCGGGTTTAGGATCCAGCCTGTGGAGGGCTCGAGACTGGAAAACCAGGAGGAGTTTGGAGGAGATGAAGCGGCGGGAAGAATCCGGGCTGTGCTTGCTGGAGGATGCGGGCCGCACCTGGGCCGCGCAGGTGTGACGCCCTGGGCCCACAAACGGGTTTCCCCCAAGGCCGCGCGGTTGCTAAGGGTATGCGCGGGGTTGAGAACTCGCCGCCTGCGGGACTGGCTTCACTGTAAAAGGCCCCGTGCAGCCCTGAGGGCAGCTGCTGCCCGCCGCGGCCTGCCCTTAAACCTGAGCCCGCGTCGGCCGCGGGGGGTGGTCCGGGGCGATGCCGGCGGGAACCGGCTCGGCGGCGGCTCGCGGACCGCTGCTCCCTCTCCTGGGTGATGTAAGCCGTTCCCTGGGGTGGGAACCGCTGGGTTATTTCTGGAAGTGGGATGAGGCGTATCTCCTGGCAACATAGATGCTGCTGAGTTGCTAGTGGGGTGACAGAAAGGCGGATGTTGTCGCTGCGAGGAAGCCGCCGCCCCAGAACCCCGCAAAGCCCTCCTCCACCCTTTTTGTTTGTTTCTCAAGACAGGGCTCTTCTCGGTCGCCCCGGCTGTCCTGGAACTCTCTCTAGACCAGGCTGGCCTCCAATGCACAGAGCTCTGTCTCCTCTGCCTCCGCCTCCCGAGCGCTGGGATCAGGGCGAGCACCACCGCCCTGGCCTTCAAAGCACTCCCAGTCACATGGCTACCGCGTGTGAGGCCTCAGACCCCCTCCCAGAGGTCAGGTCCCGGTCTGATCTAACTTGTTGCCCCAGATACTGGCTGCGTGGGATGGCAGCTGGCCTTAAAAACAGCACCTCCGGTCTCCCGTCGCCCACCCGAATCCATTTGCAGGTCTGGAACATTTCCTGCCGAAAGGTGCCCGGAGCCCCGTGTGCTTGCTTATGTCCGCAGTGCTGGGGAGACTGAGAGAGGCAGGTGGCGGCTCCTTTGAGGCTCACCTGGACACAGAGGAAGAACCTGTTCCTTCCCTCTCCTCCTCTGCTTTGCTTTTCTTAGACAGGGTTTGCCTGTGTAGCCTGGCTGTCCTGGAGCTCTGTAGACCAGGCTGGCCCCGGCAGAGATCTGCCTGCCACTGCCTCCCTGGTGCAGCGCCAGCTAAGACCCTGTTTCTGAGGGAGGCAGGAGGGCTGGGAGGCTGCTCAGCAGCTAGCTTGTTTAGCAGCACGATTCCCGTCACCATAAACCTGTCCTGGCGGCTCGTGCCTGCAGTCCGAGCACAGGACAGGCAGGAGGACCGGGAGGATGTGTTCAGCTTCATAGGGAATTTGAGGATGGCCTGGGCAATGTGAGACTTCATCTCAAAAAAAAAAAAAAAAAAAAAAAAAGACACCTGACCTTGGTCCTGAGATCTTTGCTTCCAACCGGAAAGTCATCCTAGGTCTTTCAGGACATGTTATAGATGAATCCACCCCAACGGAAACCCCATTTGCGACACCAGCCCTCCTCCTAGGTACCCGCAGAACCCCCTAAAGTCTTCCTGTCCTTTCGTGGCCAGCCTTCCCCCACACAGGCTGCTCAGAGGTCTCGTCATTTCCCTCTCCTCATACTTTGCCCAGACAGCCCCTGAGCTTCTCCAAAATGCTCCAAAGAACCCTTTGCGCAGCCTACAGCCTTCTTCGGCGTCCCCACCCACCCTGCGAGCATCTTCAGGACGCTGGACGCGGAGACAGCTTCCAGATCTCTGACATTCGCCCTGCTCGACGCCAAGAGCGCCCCACTGCGCAGGTCCCACGGGTTCTGTCCCGCCACACACGCCCTGCTGAGCCTGCGTGTCCCGGGCCCCGGGGTTCGGCTTTACTGCCCCAGCCCGATGCCACCGTCAGAGGGCGGCAGCCGCCGTCCAGGCTCTGGTGAGGCGTGAAGCGGAGGTTTGCAGGAGGGCGTGGAGCGCCCGCTTGCCTTCGGGGGCCCTTGAGCGCGCGCGGCTCCCGGCTCCCGGCTCGCTCTGGAGCTGCCTCTCCCAGGCATTAACCGCAGAGCGGCGACTCGCCGTGCGAAGGAAGGCTGAGGGTGCGTCTTGAGCCGCTTCCCTCGTGTGCACTCCCTAGAAGCCTGTGACGGAGACAGGGCAGACGTCGGCCCGCCGAGCCGGCCTCGCACCGGCACTGGGGCCTGGTTTCGTCGCAGACCGTGCGGCGCATCCCCGCGTCCTAACGGGCCGCTAGGGAAAGGCACACTCTCCGAACACAGGGGTGAGGCACGCTCAACTGTGGACCGATCCCCTGAGAATGCAGGGAGGGACGTCTCCCCTCCCCGGCCACCGGGGCCCCTTTCGCCAGCCGTCACTGACAGGCTCAGGCCTGGCGACCTTGGGGGCCGGGGGAGACACTGTAACAGCACCGTTTCCCTGCGAAGGGTTGTCCTCAACCTTTCACCCTCGCGCTCCGCCGCGCCACCCACCTTGGACTACATTTCCCGGCAAGCCCGGATCCCAGCCTCACAAAGAGGAAGGTTCCACTGCGGAGTTTTCCCAGCATGCTTCCGTCTGCCCGTAACTCCTCTCCGCCCGGTCAAAGGCAAAGCCGTGCTGAACTTCGTTTCCCAGAAGGCACCGGGCTCGCCGGGGCGACGCGCTTACCTCTCGGCGTCTACTACATTTCCCGGAAGGAACTGCGGCGCAGCTCACGGGCAGAGAGCGGTCGGCGTCCATTCCTGCCTCCTCCAGTTACGGGGTCTGCTCGGGCTGTGAGCGCCGCCCGGGACTTCATTTTCTAGCGTGCTTTCTAAGCGGCTCTGCACCTGCAATGCGGTGAGGGCGTGGCGACGACTCCATTTCCCAGTGTGCCTCGTAGCTCGAGACGTGAGGATTCATGGGTGCGGACTCGATCTCCCAGAAGGCACGCAGCTCAGGGGGTCGTGACAGCCCGTCGAGTAGGCGGGTCAATGGACTCCACTTCCCGGCGTGCATCAGGCTTGGCTGATGCTCAGGGATGGAGTAGCTAAGACTTCGTTGCTGAGGAACTTGCTGTTGCCTCTGTGTAGTGCGTGTGTGGCTCGCACTGTGTTTTCCGAAGGGCTTCCGAGTTGGCTCTCGGCAGAGTCCAGTGACGTTATCCAGGACTCGATTTCCCGGCGTGCAGCGCGAACCATTTCCTCCCCCTCCCCCTGCGCGTCCACCCACGCTGAGGCCTTGAGAACTCCATTTCCCGGCGTGCTGTGCGGGTC